CTTTGTATCAAATAGATTCTATTAGCTCACTCTACATTCTGTTTTAACACCTAATGGCATAATTAGGCAGTTTACCAGTAAACATCAGCATGATTTTTAATGTTATTTATATTAATTACGAAGAATGTAAGAAACCTAATATTTTCATGTGTTTGATCAGCCCAAGAGAAAGAGAAGAGGAAATGCATTCATGAGAGAATAGGATCTAATGAGTTCAGCGAATTAAAAATTCAGGACCATGACTTTCTGCTATTTTAATTAAGTCATTTTATATCTCTTTACCTCATTCTCTAAAATAATTTGTTACAATTATCTAACCTTTTACAAATGAATGCAAATTAAAAGAAATAATTACCAACTACTACACCCTAATTTTGAAGAATGGATAAAGCACACAGTATGATAATGTGTTTTTCATCCTTCTAAAGGAACTCTGTGATGACAAAAACAGGAAAAAAATATTCTTAATCTACATATCTATTGAATTTTATTACATTTCTTTTCACACCTCTTTTCGCAAATTTTCGTACCATCTTTTTGAACTTTAACTGGTCTTTAATTTGTTCTCTCTTTATACACAATTGAACACACAAACATAAGTCAAGGCATTAAATAAACACAGGATTCCTAGTTATAGTTCTGCTATGCTGTATTAGTCTTTCCATCATCTGCCCCAACCAATGTTTGGCATAGTGCCTTTCCCTTAGAAAGCTTTCAATAAATGTATTTATTGACACTTGCATAATACTTTATGTAGCAATTTAAATGTGAGAGATATATAAAATGATTATGAAGTTCATTTCAATAATTTTCACAGTAGTCTTACATGAAATGTCATAAGACAATTAAACTAATGTGATGATTCATCTAGCCATACATTTAGCCAACACTGACAGGAATTTTGCTTGGTAACTTCCCAAAGTACCCAAGGAAAATTTTTGCTGTTGTTTTTTGAAACAAAGTCTTACTCTATCACCCAGGCTCACAGGCTGGAGTGCAATGGCATGATCTCAGCTCACTGCAACCTTCGCCTCCCGAGTTTAAGCAATTCTCTTGCCTTAGCCTCCTGAGTTGCTGGAATTACAGGCACGTTCCACCATGCTGTGGTAATTTTTAGTAGAGACAGTGTTTCACTATGTTGGCCAGGCTGATCTCGAACTTCTGACCTCGTGATCCACCCACCTTGGCCTCCCAAAGTGTTGGGATTACAGGCATGAGCCACCACACCAAGCCAAGAAAAATGTTTTTGAGAGACACATCCATTTTCTTATTGTTAGCTATGACATTCTTTCTGTGTCATATCAAATTAAAGGCTTTATGTGCCTGAAAACCATTTTCTTGTACTGAACTAAAATACATACATCCTAAAGCTTTTGAAGGAACTAGAATCTTAGTGCTCTTTTTGTATACAAATAATGACTGAGACCTGTTAACCAATTGAAATAGCTTCTCATACTTCTCATACTTCTAAGGATTTTTTGAAGAAACATGCTTATTAAAAACATCAATAATTGAAAAGAAACATCATTCAGAGTATGATTTCCTTCTTTCCCAATAAAATTAGTTGCTTTCTCTGTGCTATAACTTCTGTCTCTTTTTATCATATTTATGTCTCTCTCTCTCTATGTATATATTCTGGATTATTCTATTTCACATATTATTTATCCTATCAATTAAATTATAAGTACTATGAAAGCAGGAAAAATACCTGACTGCTTTTGAACCCCCTTGTATATTTAAACTCAATATAGAAGGCACATATATACCTATTAAGTGTAACTTTGTATTTCCACTAATTTGTTAGACTTTAGACTAAATTTTGTAGAATGGGGTAAAGATGAAATGAAGATTGACTTGTAGTTTTCTCAACAGGTATTGTTTTAAGAGCCTCTTAGTCATTAGTGAAATCTTCCCATACATACTGTTAGCTACTTTTAAAGTATTAATTGTAAAACTCTAGTTTTTTTTCTGTCTTAAATATAATCTATTTAAAAAATAGAACTGAGAATGTATTGGGCATAGTTTTCATATGGAGAAACTGAGGTTTTGTATCTTCCTTCCCATGTCATCTGGACCTTGTTCATTAGCCATTATTCTTTCTATTCTCTGCTATTTCTTTTCCAACACATTCTCCTGAGTACCTATAGCTATAGAAAGATTCCCAACATCTCGAAAATAACCTTTCACATTATCCTGCTCCTGCCTCTTCCTACTTTTCACATGCATGGCCATTTTATTTCTTTCCTTCCCTCTACTGACTTTTAGCAGCATGAAAATCCGCTTATAGCTTGGGCAACATGGCAAAACCCTGTCTCTACAAGAAAATGCAAAAATTAGCTGGGTTTGGTGGTGTGCACCTGTAATCCCAGCTACTAGGGAGGCTCAGGTGGGAGTTGCTTGACCAGGTTAGTTGAATGTTGCAATGAATCGAGACACTTCACAGTAGCCTAGGGGGCAGAGTGAGCTCCTATCTCAAAAAAAAAAAAAAAAAAAAGAAAGGAAAGAAAACCTAGTTATTTATTTCACTTTAAATTCTACATGCAATCTATCTCAGTCACATCATACTGAGTTTCAATTTCATTGGCTCTCAAATTGGTTTCCTCCTTTTCATTTTCACTATTCCTCCCCTTGTCATACTTTTCACACCACAGCAAGGCATATTTGCTCTTCTTGACTCCCTAGAATTTATGCCAAAGGCACCAGCTGTTAGATTAGTCAACATATCACCAGAAAGAGACAGAAGTCCCCATTTTTCAGCTTGCAATCAGGGTTCTTCCCAATCTGATTCCCAGTATAATTAAGAGTAATGGCCACTTACGGGCTTACCACAGATCAAGAACTGGGATGTTTTCTGTATACCATATCTAATTTATAATTCTCACAACAATCTTAGGTTGCAAATAATTTTGATGTCATTCTGTGAGAAAATTAGTCTAAACTTTATTTCTAAATGTACCTTCCACCACAATCATGTGATGCCTGTGGCCAAATCAGGTAATTGATTTGCATTGTTCCAGAACTTGCTTTAACTTTCCTCCTCTAGCCTTTACTCTGCTCTTTCAGCATCTAATGACATGCCAATTTCATTCTCCTGACAAGTTTGCTCATCAGTCAGGACCCAACTCAAATACTAATAGTTCTGTGACATTCTGTCCACATTCCTCACCTACCTTCTAGGCTCCTTAAGAGCTGAGATCAGTTTTATGTATTTTTCCATCCCATTAAGGATAGAAAGGTCTTACATAGCGTAATCCCTTTAATGGATTTTCCCTCTCCACTTACATTTTCTGATCTTTTATTTGCTTTAATAAAGAACACTCCAATAGCTATCCTTCTTTCTTCATGATTTCACGTGACTTAGCATAAGCGCATATCTTAAGAAAATTAGACTTCCTGTGGGCCTCATTTCACTCTAAATATTCTTGATATTTCTAAAATAGGATAAGTGCAGTCTCAAAATATTCATAAATATTGTACCTTTAAGAAACATCCAGACTTATTCTCAAAGATTGTAGAAACATGCCAGTATATGAAGTACCACATAGAGAATATTGATTTAGTCAAAGGATTGTGTGACAAAAAATGAGGAAGATAACTGAAAAAACATTGAAAAGTGAAATGTGAAAATTAGGAACAGAAGGAAAAAATACATAAGACAATCCTCTACCTTCTTTTGAAAAAAAAAGAAAAAGAAAAAGAAAAAAAAGAAACTACAAATGAGACCCCAAGGTTTGTAAGATTAGCTTAGTAGTATCCTGGAACTTGCTTTTACTTTCCTGACTTTGGCCTTTACTCTGATGTTTCAGTATCTAGACTAATGCAAATTTCATTCTTCAGTCTAAATCAGCACATTGGTAGGGACGAATCCAAATCTTAATGGTTTAGCATTTTCCTAAACTGTTTTATTCGGGACAAAACAGCCAAGAAAATCATTTTTAAGGGTCAATTCCATTTTATGATAATTTATGTATTATGCCAGAAATATGCCTATTACCCTAAATTTTATTCTTCCAGTACTAGGCTGTATTTTAAACATTTGCTGCAAATGACTATATCTTGAAGTCTACGTGATTACACACGTTATTATAAATATTCATGACAGGTTTACTGAGGCGTAGGCAAGGAAATTAAAAAAATAAATTTTATTAATTGCCGTATTTTGTGTCAGAACTAAATAATACTGCCTCTACTTCCGTAACATTGCTCCACAGTACCCCACCTAGAGCGACCTGCTCTTCACGCACATATCCCTATTTTAAAGTGTCCTTTCATCCCAAATCTGTAACTAGGACTGTTGAGAGTCAGTACCAAAATCTTTGCTGATATTTGAAATTCTTTTACGTAAAAAGGTACATGCACACGCACTTTTTCTTCTACTTTTCCACCCGCCTAGTCTTCTCCAAGCCTGAAACTCTTAGGCGCTGAGCAGGGGTCTGCGCTGCCGGATGCCCACTGGAATGACCTCCTGTGAGCTGAATCCGCCCCACACTCTTGAGGGTGCTACAACCCTTGCTCTCATCCCGCGGTCCTCAGGCCTCTCCTCCAGGCATTCTTGAGCCCTGGGAAAGCGAGGCCAGGACTAGGGCCCCACTCAGCCTAGATCCGCTTTCTTCCCAGGTGAGCGTCGCTGTCCTCCCGGGTCGCTCCTCGCCCCGGCCCGCGAGCAGGGTGTGGGGATTTGGAATTGCCCCGTAGCCCCGAGGGCGGGCAGGAAAGAAAGGCTTTTTCATTCTCTGCTGGGAGAGGGCTGGGTGTTTTTGAGTTCAGACAGGTTCCGAGCGCCTTCTGGCTACGCGGGGTTTGGCGCGCCCCGACTTGGGACTTGCAGCAACCCGTCCCCACTCCCGCCTCCTCCAGCGCTGCACCTCGGCTCGGCGAGGCGCGGTTCGGGCCGGAATGAGCCTTCCTCCGCCGACCTGACGCTGGGCAGGTAACTCCCCTCCCCTCCCCGCCCTCGCCCGGGCGCTCGCAGCTTCCTGGGAGGCACACCTTCGGCGGCGGCGGGCGCGCGGCGGCGGGCGCGGCTGCGCGCGGCTCGGGACGCTCCTGGCGGTAAGTGGGGCTCCAGCTCCCCTACCCGGACCGCGGCGGGCGGGACCCCAGCGGGCGCGCGGTTGGGGCGGTCGGGGTTGTCGGGGAGCCCGGGGCTTCACCCGTCTCTGGCCGGCGCGGCGGAGAGGAGGCAGAGGGGCCTCCCCCTGGGGAGCGCGCGCGGGATTGGACTTTGTCGAGGGCGCAGAACTCAGTTGTTTTGGGCCTTTTCTACGTTTCTTTCATTGTGGGTGCGAGTGAGTTGGGAAGTTTGAAAAGTTGTCTCGGGCGGGGTCGGTTTGGGTCGGCAGAACACAGGCACCGCCGCTCGTGGACGTTGGATTCGTTTCCTCTTTCCCAGTGTAGTAGTCGAGGACCCCGGGAGAGGAGGCGGGAGGAGAGACCGCTGGGAAGTGCCTCGTGGGAGGAAATCCAGAGTGGAAGCGGAGGGCGCGGTGGTGGGGGGGTCCGGGGAAAAGGTGGGAGAGCTTAGGACGCAGAGGGGCGTGGGCGTTCTTTAGGTCCAGAGTGGGGAGCCGAACTTGAGAAGACAAAGTTTTTCCACGCAACCTCTTAGTGGTATACGAACCCGTTTCTGGGTGCAGACTGGTAGCGACCTGTGTTTTTCAAACTTGAGTCTGCTTGAGTCTGGGTCTGTGTTCCCCAGCAGCTCTCCAGGAGAGTCTGTACCTACCAGATTTTGAGAGTCACTGCTCTAGATCGTGGTAAGTGATCTAGAAGAAGAGGAGCGGATGCCTAGAGCAGATTGCTCCTTGAACGCGACTTGGAAACTTAAGGCCTATTCTGTGTGATATGTGGGGGGATTTACCTGTACAAGGTGAGGGAAGAGGCAGAGAATGTGCCTGTGTTCATTGCAGGAGTCACAGGTATGTGAAGAGACAACAGTGCTTTATAGGAGGAGACTGGGAGGTTATGGGAACACAGGACAGCACGTTGTCCATGCTTGGAGTGGCGAGGTTATATAGGGTCTTTTTGACCTAGACGTGGAAATGAGAGCTCAGGCGGCCAGAAGGCTAAAAAGAAGGTGTGCAGGTGGCAAGCAGTTGAAGCTAGAATTTAATACCCAACAGCTTATTTCCAAATTCCCATTTACCAAACATCTCGCCAGGTTACTGGCAGCACCTCCCTTCTTTCCCTTTCTCATCCCAACAAGTGCAAGAGCTTCGAGGGAATCGATGACTGAGGCTGAATCATTGCTGACAAGCAACAGGAAAGGAGACAGTGATGAAAGGGACTTAGAAGGAAAAGCTGGGTTTTTCTTTTTTCATTTTCATTTTCTTTTCTTTTTTTTTGACGGTTGGAGGGGAGAGGGGTGCTGGGTGAGTGGGAGGGTTCAAAATGATTGGAGAATGAGAATGATGTGTGGAACAGAATGATGGAAGGTTGGGAGTGCAGGTCTTTGTTGGGTTTGTTTCTCTCTTGTCTTCCTATAGTCCCCAGAAAGGTAGAAGTCCTCACACCTTCCATTTAGAAATTCCACCCCCTTGCCTTTGGGGCTCAGGCACATTTGGTGTATACATTTACTAAGGGTGCTGGTTACACCCTCTAGAGCCTGCCCAAGGGGCTGGGTGGATCCTGCCTTTAAAGCTGGCAAGCTCTAAACCGCAGATGCTGAGAATTTATTGTGGGAAGCATCACCAATTGAACAGCTGCTGGAAGATTGTATAGATGGAGACAAACCACACCTTTGGTGCTGACTCAGTGATGTCTTTTACATTTATGCCCTTGAGTTTATGACTCTAACTGGGTAAACTTTTTTGGGATGAAATAATTAATATTATTAATCTTTCTATTTTATTCCCTCTAGCTTCTACCTTTCTTTATAGTTTAAGGTGGAGGTTCATTCACTGAGAATTTTCTTGACTATGACTCACCGTGCAGCAAATCACCTACTTGTTTCCCGTTTAATTACATTATATAATACCGAGTTGCCAAAATGTAGTGTTATTATACTTTTAAGCGTCCAGAATCTCGGGGTGAAACTGTGAGTCTATCAAAGCAGGACTCGTCTAATACATAAATCTGGTTGGAGGAGACCTTTTGAAAAGAGCCCACTTAGCTTAATTTAACTAATTATTAGTAAAATTTCAGGTTGCCCTTGTTTAGCTAGTTAGGTAAGTTTGCCTGTCTGTCCCTTTATGTGTTGCAAAATGTGAATGTTCCATGGATGTTTCACAATTCAGTTTGTTAAACACAATGTTTTGTTCATTTTGAAATGTGCTTTTGTTCCTTTAATTTCTGATCTGGAAATGGAATGTATTTCAGAATTTTGTCGTTGAATTTATCATTTGAACATCAGAATACATCTGCTCCCCTTTGGAAAGAGAGTTCTAAATGACAGTTATTTACAGCCCAGCTTTTAAGGATGCCATGGGTAAAAATTTGTACAGATAGCACTTAAACTCCATCAAGAATCAAAGCCAACAACATTTCTCTGAGAAAATGTGTTAGAGCTTTCGGGGAGAGTTTCCTTCCTACTGAGGTGTGCCAATGGGCATGGGCACTGTTTAGAGATATCCCGGCCTGCATGGGTAGAGCAGGCTTCCCAAGGGGACTGGCACGCTGAGTGCTGTGGGCTCCTGAGACAAGAGCTGGAGGAAGTGGTAGGCTTCAGTGGAAAGGATATGTGTGGAGGTGAGGTGGAGTCCCGGGGGTTGGGGGGGGGGTGTGTGGAGGGGCGGAGGAGAAGACAAGTGGGCTGTAGGTCGGGGAGGAGATGTATTAAGGAGGCAGAGGACTAATACAGAAGATAGGGCTGGGGGAGGAGACAAAGGATGTTTTTAGTGGCTGTGATGCTGTAAGGAAGGTGAGCCTGGGTGGAGAGATTATCCAAATGTAAGAGATATTCACTGGACATGTTGTTTATGTTGGAAAGTCCTAGAATCACATGATCATGAATGATAGGAAACTTTTCCTCTGGGGACATCTAATTACTACCCAATTTGTCTTCTATTTTTACACAGTTCTTAGGAATGGGGTTAGGTGTCCCCTAAGAGGACATGACACTTATCTTTTGATCTGGGTCTTAAATAATTTGTAGATTACTGGTCCGTGGGGAACTTACAGTAGTCATAGTCAGCCTCTCTTTCATACTGACATAGGGTCAGGCGTAATATCCAGGTTACTGGCAGGGGCCTGTGTTAAAGAGTTTAGAGAGAAGTTGTGCAGTGATGATGATTATCTAACTACTCTAACTTAATGCTCTTTTACACTATCCTGTTATTAAACATATTTACTGACCATTATCTGCCAAGCAATATGTGTCTCTCCAGGGGTAGGAAAGTAAAAAGATATTCCTGGATCTTAGAAAGCTTCCTGTTTAGGGACCTAATGATAATTATAAATACACAAAGAAATAAATGAATCAAGTCCACTGATTCTTGTAGTTGCTTCCTGTTCTCTGAAGGTCACAGCAGATGGTGTTTGTGTTCATTAATCATTTGTGAAATTGAACATTAGCAGCCCTGGGATAGTCATGGTTTTTGACAAAGTATTAACATTCTTTAGGCCTTGCAGGTTTTTCACTGGTATTGTGAAAGGTTTGTGTCATCACTCCTGTGCACCACCCGTATTGCTCTGAAATTCTCTGTGATCCCTTATTGAGACTATCATAAAATAATGTTAACTAAGGTTTCCCCGCAGTTTCACTGTGAAGCTTATTATTTCCACTTCTCTGGCCAAATTTTCACTTCAAAGGATTTTTGTTCTTAACCTAAAGTTCCTTATCTGATTACATAGACAGCACTTATTACCTGGGGAAGAAAGGGCAGTTTTCAAAGCACTAAAGAGTGGCCGTCTTCCATCTCAATGGTAGTAATGGAATCATTAAACCTGAGATGTTTAAGCTGTCATTTATATTTAGGCGCTAGAAATGACAGCTTTAATTCTTAACAGCGTGTTACTCCAAATACCTAGTCTCATTTGACTCATTCAACAGTTGTTTCCAGATGTTTTAAAATACTATATTTTTCTTTAATAAATATAACTTCTGAGTTATTTGTTAAAGAAGAGTGTAATGTAGCCGAGTTGCTTTTAGAGTAAGTAACTGTTTAGTGTTCCCTCATGATTCTTTTTTTCAGTTTCAACCCTTCCTTTCCTTTTTCGTCTTTATTGGCCTTTTCATCTTTTTTGTTGCATCTCACCTTTTCCTCCCTTTGTCCCTTCTCTTCTTGTTTTTTTTTCATGCTTCTCTTCTCTTCCCTCCCTTTATGTTTTTCCCTTCACTTCCCTTCTTTTTTATCTACCACTTCTCATTCCTCCTGATTTACCTTTTTACCCATTCGTCTTTCTTCTTTCTTTTCTCCCATTCCCTACTTTTATTTGTCTATTTCACCGTCCGTTGAACTACTTATTTATTTACAGTTCTTTATTTCTGTCATCTTTACCAGCTCAGTTCTCTACTTTGGTATTCTAAAAATCTGTACAAGTAAAATTAGAAGCATATCTCGTTATATTATGCTTTGTTCATTGTACTTTGCAGCAATTGTGTTTTTACTAATTGAAGGTTTCTGACAACACAGCCTCAAGCACGTCTGTCAGTGCCGTTTTTCCAACAGCACGTCCTGTCTTGATGTCTCTGTGTCACGTTTTGGTAATTCTCACAATATTTCCAACTTCTTCATTATTATATCCTTTTTGGTGATTGTTGATCTCTGTTGCCACTCTTGTAGTTGTTTTGGAGTGCTACAAACTATGTGTACATATGACAGTGAACTTAATCCTTAAATGTGGTGTGTGTTCTGACTGCTCTACCAGCTGGCCTTTCCCCTGTCTCTTTCCCTCTCCTTGGGCACAATATTGAAATTAGGCTACTTAATAACACTGGCAGGGCCTTTAAATATTCAAGGGAAAGGAAGAGTTGTATGCCCTCACTTTAAATCAAAAGCTAGAAATACATGACTAAGCTCAGTGAGGAAGTCATGTTGAAAGCTGAGATAGGCTAAAAGCTAGACCTCTTGTACTAGACAATTATCCAAGTTGTGAAAGCAAAGGAAAAGTTG